CACAATCAAAACTAAAAGAAAACCATTATGTCCAATGAAAAAAAAACAACATAACAATAAACTCACTGCCAGCAGTGAAAGCACGGATTGTTTTTCACAATGTTTTCACATATTCTAAAGCCCCCTTTCTTCCTGGGGGATCATTTTCACTAATGGTGATGGGGATTCCACTGTAGGTCCCACCAGTTCTACCAGTATTTTTTTCAATAGATCTGTGGATTGTGGATTCTACCCAGAGAGGGTGAAAGATGCATGTCTCTTGCTCCTTATGTCAATTTAAACTGTACAGTTCATTGACCACCAAGGACAGAATGTAGTAATTTCAATAGGGGTATCCTTATAGTTTGGTCAGTGAGTATACTGTACTTTACTGCTCTTCCTCACCTAAGTTGGAAATGCTTGAGAATTGTACTACAAACAGCTAAGAGGATAAACTTCCTTTACCGAGGAACTTGTGATGGATTAGTGAAGATGTTTTTTCTTCTCTCTTCATGAAAACCATCCCACTACTCTTAAAGAGCAACACATAGCCCCTGTCAGTTCTTCCTGCTCATTCAGATTTCACAGAACAAAATCAATTAATAATTAAGAAGCAAAATAGAAATTGTGTTGAATAAGAAGACGAAAGAAGAACAGTTTGTCACAGTTTGTCAATCCTGAGAATGGCTTATCTCTAGTGTTTGATGAGTGACAATCTTGAGCTAGTTCATTGTATGTTTTAGGATCACATTACATTGTGCTCCAAATCTAATCTTTATAAATGTGTTTTTTATTCTCTACTAGTATTAAATATAATGAATATTTTATATTCAAAATTGAAATACAACCAGTTATATAAAAAAGAAACACAATTAAATCTTAATATACAGTATCATTATTAATAAATTAAAGTATATTAAAACAAAATGGTAGAAATGTTACCAAAACAAACGTGAATTGAACACTTTCCAAAACTGTTTCCAAAATAGACGAGCTACGTCCACTACAGAACAGTCAACTTAGAAAACAAGACATGATATTTAAGAGGCTCATCATTAAGACACAGTGGAAATAGCTGCCCGATTGACCAATTTATTCGAATTTGTGAATGATCACTGTTTGGGAATTCAATTTGGAATAAAAATAAAAGCTGGCATTTTATCCACCATTTCTCATAGTTATCTAGAAATGTGAATGAGTTGAGTTCCAGGTTACCTGCACCTAAATTAACGTGCCATATTAAATATATTTGATCTTCCCCAAACTCATTAATTATTCCAACAACAAATCTCCCCCTTCCAAAAAAAAAAAACCCTAACAAAACAATTAAATATGATTAATTTGCAGTTCATGCGCTCTCGATTTCTCAACATGTTTGTCTAAACCGGTGGTCCTGCGTCACCTACAGGGATTGGTCAAGAAAAAGACCTTTCAGGTTTTTCCGGCTATGAATATTCTGTGTGTAGGGAACATTTTACAGAAGTCTGATTGCTCCCCAGACTGTTACAGACATTAAAGCTACGGAAGGCGTGGAAAAGTGACTCTTGACTTTGATAGGCTGCTTCCAGTTGGGGGCTACAGTAATTCACACACACACACACCGGTTAAGTGGAGCACAAACTTACAGTCTTGGTTTTCTGTTTCGTCGTCCACGTATTAGTACAAGTTACCACTGAGAGAATATGCGTGGATCTATTGTCTTTTGGATGGCAAAATGCACGACTCTTCTCCTTTTAACTGTAAGTACAATATTGTGTCCATTATAATGCGACAATGTAGCTTATTTTCGTTACTTTTACAATTAATGGATGTTACTTTACGACTGCCAACATAGAAGACAGCGAAATATGTTAATTCTGATGAGCAGAGACGCAATGATTCGAAGTGTTATGTTCCACACAGTTAAAAAAAATAAAAATAACTGTAGTGCGTTAATGCTGTTTTACTGTAAGTAGCTTTTATTAAAATGTTTTAAAGCTGTATAACCCAGCAAGTGTCGGACCCTAGCAAAATACATCAATTATTAATGTCTCCACAGGTAGCACATGGAAAGCACAAAAAAAAAAAACATTTTAAAATGTTTTCCCCCACAGTCGATCTAATTCGACTAACGATAAAACTTACTAGTAAGGTCGTGAAATAGCATGAAATAAATTATGACGACAACGATGATAATTGTATAAGGAAGAATCCTGTACTGCATTTATTTCTACGCATTCGCGATAAAGGTTGTCTCAGTACTGTATATAAAACCTTTCACTTATTGTTTCTATGATTATTTCATTGGAATACTTATTGGTTGTACAGTTTCAGCGGCTGTTGATGTATTTACGAAAATATTAATTCAGCTGTTGCAGAAACATGTCTCCTGTTTATGTGACCTACAGCTACACCAATTGTGCAAATTCTCATGAAGTAGTTTACCTAGACACTGGGCGGTACTCCAAAACCTAGAGTGAATTTATGAAATTCAGGTAAAATGTAATTCATTTGTATCTACAATTCTATGAAAATATAAGTTCAATAATATTAAAATTAATAATGATAGGGCCGGTTATGGAAAAGCAGGTCACATATAGTATAGATATGAAACTAGATATGAACTAGATATGAAATACATTTATATTTATTTATAGTCATATTGTGCAATGCGACTTTTTTGTGTACTGTTCTGTTCTGGTTTTGTTCTGTTCTTTGTGTGTTCTGGACTGCGAGTAACTCTTCTACTGATTGTATTGTATGTATTGTATTATTATCATTGTATCATTCATTACACTGTTGTCTGTGTTAAGATGCTGTTGCACTGCAATTTCCCTCACGGGATCAATAAAGTATCTATCTATCTTTATACTAAATTGTAAGGGTGAAATTTCAAGTAGCACTTCCGTGGAATTTTATATTGTTTGCGACTTGTAAATTTCAAAAAGCTGTAAACTATTATGATTATGATGTAACTAATTTAGCAGCAGAAAATTGAGTAAAACATTATCTTCCTTTGTTCCTTAGTTGGTCAAAATAAACAAATACTTTCATTTGATAAACTCTAAATAACAAAGCATTCCTTACAAGGTACAGAATATAGTCAGTATATATCTCTAACAATCGTTTTAATTGTTTAGAACACAATGACTTCTTGCTAGAATAAACAAGTATCTGATAAATGTGTTTTACAGATGGCTTAAAATAGTTTAACAAAAAGAATTGGTATTTATATGTGGAAATGCATTTTTACCACATGAAGGATTTAAATAATAGCTGAAGTAAATACTGTAGATAGCGAGATAAAACAGGATTGATACTAGAAGAGGAAGAATAAATAGTACTGTAAATGTGATGATTTGATACTTCACTCAACCTTCTAACAAAAGCATACATGCTCTGTATATCACAAATATGTCCCAAGCCATACAAGGTGTGTTGTACGATGTTTAGTGATAATAACTGACACTGAAGTATTACAGAGACCAGGGCATCTTACACCAAATTTCTGTTGATGGATGGCATTTTCCAGGTTGTATTTAAGAAAATGAAGAATGTTATTCATTGACTTTAACTAGAACATTTCAGCTGCCACTATGGATGAGGGTATACCCACAGTTTTGCAAAACTGAGAATAAACTGTTGTGGAGAGATCAGTCTTACTGTTGTTACTGGTAAAATTATGGTCTAATGATATTTGGATCTAAACTACAAGCATATTTACAAAATGATATCAGACAACATGGAATTAGAAAAGAAAGATGTTTTTAACTGACATTTAATATCTCTGTGCTGCAGGGATGCATTTTTGGTCTAATTGGTTTATATTGATGATTTACAAGACTCTGGTTAGCAATCTAGCTACATTTGCAGATGAAAACAGAGGGAGTAGCAAACAGAAGCAGCTTCAAAGCTTACAAAAACCTTTAGATAAAATCATGGATTGAGCACACATGTATTGTAGCTAATGGAATTTAAGATTGGTAAATGCAAAGGACTGCATAAAGGAAGAGGGAATATTTAGTATACATATCATATGCGTGCTAAAGAATTTGTAGAAAGCTAGATATGAAAAGGATTTAGTTATTTTTGTGGATTTATCTTCTCTTTAACACAATGTGGGGAAGCAATAAAAAATAAACAGAATGCTTAAGAGACTGCTTTGAGCAAAGATTATAACAGATTAGTAGGGCTTCATTTAAAATGCTGTATTCAGTTTTAGTCACCAAACCACAAAAAGAATATTATAGTCTTAGAAAGAGTTCAATGAGGAGCAAGAAGAATCATCCCTCATTTTAGGGAATTGTGAAATATTGTTGTTGGTATAAACAGGTTTCCCAGCCAAGATGTTGAATTTAGTTGGAATTTTAGATTAATTTCGTTACTAATCTACCAAAGAAAATGTGCAAGCACTGTTTATTTTAATAGCCATGTGACATAAATTCACCAATATCTTATTCTGTCATGCAATTTTGCAAAACTTGTCAGCATATATTTTAAAAATGGAAATAATTCTTTCTTAAATTGTAAAGCATAAATAAAGAAAAGTAAAACAATTGGCATTGTATATATTCAGTTACATTTCCAAAGTTCTTCCTAAAATCTACAAAGTGGCATTAAGGAGAGCAATTGCTTGTTTTTTCCTTTAATGTTTCTTCTCTTTTGTCTCCTTAAGGCAAAAGATTCACAGAATCTGAGTTACCAACGAGTTACCATTTTCTGAACTTTACTATAGAAGTTTTTAGGGTCTTATTCTCTAATGAATAAGCCGTGTTGAGAAGAGAATAATGTAGCAAATTCGGGGTCTTGAGGTTTCTGCTCTTGCCACTGTTCTACTCTCGCCTCAGGATCAAACCCAGGTCTCCATATTAATAAATATGAGGCAAGAACGAAATACTGTAAGAAGGAAAAGAAAATATATCATCTGACATTAAAAACTTGTTTGATAAACCACTGTATGGATCTATATAATTATCTGCAACAAATTATGTTTACAGAATTTGGATGAAGACGGTAACACACCTAGCAATTGAGCCTGTAAACCGGTTAGTCTTTTTGGTCCTGTAATTGATTATAATCAGTGCCTTGAACAATTTACATGTAGGTGTGTTTTTCAGTTATAGCTTAGCATTGTGTTTAAATGCTGTCTCTTTTAATTCCCAGCTGGAATCCTTCAGGTATCTTTGCTTTTAGTAACATCTGGAGCTGAGGGAGAGTTTTGGGTGAAAATACTAAAATGAGGTCAATCAAGAGTTGGCTGCTGATACTACTGAGCTCCCATCAGAACAAAAAGAGTTTGTAGCTACTTAGATCTTGACAGATTGTGTATACACGGGGTTGCCAAAAATAGTTTGGGGACACATATACAGTACTGGAAATAAATATGGAAGAACAATAATGTACAAATTTAAAACGATTAATTATCAATAAGTTAAATATTTGTTTGTTGTGAATGTTATCTAATACATCATTATCCTGACATTTTATGTGGTCAGCTGCTGCTAGAAAATTGCCACAACACCTGAAAGCCTATCCAGGTATAGACAGTAAGGCAGTTTCATATCTGTAGTGAACACTTTGTCTTCTGGGAAGGAAATGTCACATGAGAAAAAGCAAAGGTATCAATTGTTGTAGCTAATAAGTGATGCTTTGGCAGACTTTAGTCCAATTTATGCAATATTCTATGAAGAGTACTGTTTGTACTCAATGAGTATTTTCAGGATCTTCTAAAATAGTATCAGTGGCAGTAGAAGAGGTCAGGCCTCTCTGCATGAAATTGATGATACAACAGAAATCTTGAGCATACTGTACCTTCATGCAAGCATAGGGCTTTCATCAGGAATTGTCAGATACATAAGAGCTTAAATGGTTTCAATTAGCCAGTTTCTCCACAGACACATTCACCTTCACTGATCAAAGATTTTGGATCAGAAATCCATCCACCTGTAAAGCATATCATGAGGCTTAAGCTACTCCTGGATTGCTTACATGGATGGATAGGCACCTTCCTTAAAAACACATGTCTTGAATGAGAAGTACAATTTTGAACTTTGCTATGATGAGATCACCCATACTGATAGTACCTTGCACCTTACTAGAAGAGTTCCTGGGTTGGTAAAAAAAAACCTGTCCATTAGCAAAAGGGTTTATACAGTATTTACTAGTTAAATTGTTTAGAAACATGAAGTAGACAAAAATGAATAATTAACAGTGTTGGAAAAATAATAAGTGAATCCCTAGTTTACTTGGCATAATTAAAGGAGTAGTAAATAGAATCAGGTGGTTAAATAATTGAGTAACAAGTAAACATGGACAGAGTTTATACTTCATGACATGATCAAAAGGGATTTCAGAGGACCTTAGAATAGGAGTAGCAGATGCTTATCAGCCTGGAGAAGGTTATAAAACAATTTCTAAACATTTTGGAATCCATCCATCTACTACATCTAGATATCATCCAGTTATCCTACCAAGATCTCTAAAAGAGCCACCGGAAAGTCATTCAGGAAATCACATAGAACCCCAGAGTAATATCCAAGGATCTCCAGGCTTGTCTCACACTGGCTTATGTCAGTGTTCATACCTCAGTGATCAAGAATAAGCTAAACAGGAATGGTTTTCATGGGAGAATAGACAAGAAGGAACTATTGGTCTCTAAAAAGAATTTTGTTGCCTGTCCCAGACTCTATAATAATACTGGAAGAATGTTCCCTGGATAGGTGAGTCAAAAATTGAACTTCTTGGCCACAATGAGAAATTTGGTATAGTGAAAAACAAAAACTGGCTTCTAGCAACAAGCATGACTGTAGATGTATCAAGGTTGTAGGGTGCCTTGCCAGCTCAGGATCCAGACAGCTTGCTACCATTTACAGAATCATGAATTCAGCATTGTAATAGCAAATGTTGGAGGAGGATGTCAGACCATCCATTCACCAGTTGAAGCTGTGCTGACACATACAGTAGCAAGACAATGATCATAACATACAGTACAACATTTACAACAGAATGGCTGGAGATCAAATCTCATATGTTGGATTGGCCAAGTCAAAGTCTGGACCTAAATCTCACTGAAATATTATGGCAGGAGTTGAAGCAAGCCATCCACAAGGAAGCCCTCGAAAACAGCTCTCTGATGTTGGCCCCTATACAAGCAGCCTCAACAATGAAACCCACAGTATTCGTTAGTGCTCACATGACTGTCTATAAGGAAGTTTACAGTTGGTAACACACTTTTAATTGCTGGATGAGAGGATTACAACACCGGCATTGTTCCACCTGGACCTTGTTGGGTAAAAGTGCACCTAAAGAGCTTTCGTGTGGGAAATAGCAATGCCTCACTGCACAAGCTGTATTGCTGGTCAGAAGGCTTATAACAAATGGACAACTTTTTGTGAAAGTACAGTACATAAGCTACAACTGTAGTATTCTCATTCCAGAAAATGTTGTGTTTCTTTTTTCCACTAGTATATTAAACTCTTTAAAAAAGCACAGTTCTTCATAGAGTATACTCATTGTAACATGTGTTAATAGTGGAAGATATTGAAAAAATGAATTTGGCTTATGTACATATCACAGCTTGTTTTTTAAATGTTTACATCTGTAAGGAATGTACACTTATTAACTTTCAGATTTCTTTGAAGCATGCATGAGCTTGCTTTAAATATCTTACAGAACAAAGATAATTAGCATTTTGTATTAGTCATTCAAGGCTGACATTACCCACAACAAATCTGACTTACCGAATCTTCTTGGACTCAAGGAGGTTACCTTATTTGAAGGAAGTGTCTAAAAATGTTCTTAATCAATAAAGCCTCTTCGATTTTTAGCAGCATATTTTCTTCTGTATATTTTGAATATTCCTATCATATTGGCACAATCACTAGATGCTGTTCAGCTTCTTTTTACACACTAGTCAATAGTCACATCACTATTCACTAGTCAATAGACCCTTTACATTGAATTTCAACTTACGCATGATCTTAAAAAATGTCAACGTTCAAAACAAGCCATAAAAATGCTCTTAATTTGATTTACAGTATGTGTAATTGACAATGTTTTTAATCTTTGATCTACAAAATTAGGATGATTGATAGTAGTTCTGAGCTCTGGAAGAACAGGTTCCCACAAAGCAACCTGAGATACAATGCCATCTCCTTGATAATAATGACAGAGTTTTGTACATTGTTTTGGAATTGTATTCAGTTAGGCACACCCCTTGTCTCTTAGGATCTAGCTTCTTTTATCACTAAAGCTCTCCTACGGGTTAGTCTAAGTAATGGGCACCACACCTTTACCCTTAAGGGCAGGGAACTTTCAGTACATGCTCTGCATGGATGCAAGACAAGGATGTGAAATAAAAACTACAGTTTTAAATACCTACAATAACATAAATATCTTGAACTTGTCATTTTTATGGGAGTTCCACATTTATTCCTCTTATGAATGCACACTTGATTCAGATCTGATATCTACATGTAAGGCAAGCTAGATAGGTGCCCAAGTGCACAAAGTGCCTGGAATTAGCGGACTGACAGACCTAAGGTTGAGAGCCCCTAATAAATGTTTACATTCCTGTGGGCTGGCCTTGCCTGGTCCTGCAGAGATGGTGTATCTGAAGGACAGTTGAAATTCCTCTTAGACCATGGTAGTTTTTCAACTGAAATAATATTTTGTCAAAAGGGCTAGTTATGAAAAATATTATATCAGAGTGAAGGAATATACTGTATATAGTACTGTATGTTGCTTGTCCTGTCTGGTTTTTACTATATTTTCTAAGTAGCTACTGCAGTAATTTCCCTATAGTTTAGTTATTGCAAATTCACTCTTGGCAAGGACCTCAGCTGAATACATTAATAATACTGGGTTCTGAGGAAAAACCTCATGAAATTATTATTAACAGTGCCAAAACAGACATTCCCATTGGGAAAGACTCATGTGATGTCTCTGTATATTATTTATTAACCCTTTATTGCACAGTTATTTCTTGTATTGGATCTTTTATGTCTCTAGAGATTAATCTGCTTTACATTATGCAATAAAGACATATGTCTTTGACAGAATGTTATCAAATGTATGAAATCATGTAGCAGTACCGAGAGAAGAGAAATTTTAATGATAGACGCTATTATACTGTTATAGTGTCCACTGCTCACTGTAAGATACATACATTTCTTTGGTCTTCCACAGGTTGTTGTCAAATTCCATTTGATGATTGAATGATTTTTGTGCATTTTCACTGTAAATTAGTTCATTGTTCTTTTATTTTCTTAAAGTAAAAGTCAAGGTCCCTAATCTTTGCATAATTTGGAAAATATATATAAAAACTGCTATACTATTATTATATGTATTTACTGTTATCTAATTAGAACAGTTTTCATTGTAAAGTAAAAAGAACTAAAGTTAGTTTCCCTAATATTCTAAAGACTAAAATGAATTAAATAAAAAACCTTTTTATATTACATTTTATGTGACTGCTTTGCATGAGAAAAACGAATTCACGTTAAGTCAAGTAAGAGCGATCTTACTCAAATTCTAGTTGACTGTACTAAAATAAAAGTGCATGACTATATCTAATATAGTTCAGATGCGTAGCTGCGTCAGCATGCGTAGGCTGCAAAGGAACAAGTAATAGGTTTATTCCATGCTGAAAAACGAAGAAAGAAAACACAACGTTTCGGAGCCTTCTTTGGGTGTGATATATTATATCTAATATAGACATTTTTGTTGAACAGACTACGATTATGACTACATTGAAAACAGAGGACTAAATCAACACTGGACTGAAAGTTTCAATTCCACCCCTCAAAGACATTGAGAACTTAGTCCTAAAGGAGGTAGTTGGCAAGGTGTGAGCTATGGGTGAGGTGATGTGGAAAGGCAGTCAAGCCAGATGGTGGAGATACCTGAAAGGATATGTGTCTAGCATGCCACCCTGCCCTGGAGGCCTGTTCTCACATGAAAGAAGGCACGTAGCCTCAGGACACACTGCTATCCCTTTTTATATTAGTCTAGCTTTTCCTTTGCAGCACACATAGCTCCAGTGTCATGAAAAAGAGAGAGCATTTGCTGCTAAATTAGTATTTTTTCCATGAAAGCCTTTTTTTTACAATGATTACCCTTTTGTTGGTTTGTGGAGACCTTTTCATATGAAATACTCTGAAACAAATAATTAACCAAAAGTGTTCTTGGCTTTATCAATGGTTCAACAAAAAAAACAAAATGGCTAACAGAAACAAATGAAAATGAGAATCTAAACTTCAGATAGTTCTAAGAATTAAGAAATGTAACCAAAACAAATGTCCTCCAATCACTACCAACCTTGCTCACCTAAACACTAACAATACAAAGCAACACCAAGACACACCTTGTTTACATCCAAACATCATATGAACATTCAGACATTCCACTATATTTAACAATTACATTATTTGTATTGATTATCAATTATACAACACAGTAGATGCTACTGCTGCAAATATACACAGTTTTCACTTCTAGCATAGTTTGTATGATGCAAACAAAAACAAAACAGTGATGTGAAAGCATGCTTGAATCACAACTCTTTTAAGAAAACACATTTTATTCTTGCACTTTATCTTAGCCTTTTGTCAATATAGCAAGTCCCTTAAATTACTCAATACCCCTGGACAGAAACACACTGTGTGGTTATCAAACCACATACACAGTAGTTAAATACTGTACTAGTGTATTACTGGTGTATTACAGAGGAATGCTTAAATGGGAAAAGTTTAACCTTTTAACATTTCAGTGTTCACTCACATGAGTAGAATTAAACTGGACTTCACTGAGGAAAACATGATAAGATCATGATTTTATCATTTCCCCTTCTACACAATGACATACTATATTCCATACCGTATTCTGTAATTTATTCCTTAACCTGGAAGCCAAATGGAGCAGATAAGGACTACTTTGCAGTCCATCAGAAACTTTATTTATGAAGGGCTGAAGCTCTCAAACTTAGTCTTCTGTTTTCTTTTCTCAAGATGGCTGTTCTGAGTTGTGCTGGACAAGAGCAAAATGCCGAAGATGTCCAGGACGTGGGTCAGACCTCTCTTTTGAAGAGAGAAAAAAGGGTTTGTATACACTTATTACAAGAGTATAGCAGTGTTTTCTTTAGCAGTGTTTTGTAGTAAGTAAAACAATATACAGTATAGAAAAGGCATATCTCTGAAACAGATTAACAGAGCACTTATTGAAAGTCAATAAATGTATTAACAAAATAGACAGTTCCTACCAAAAGTCTTGGGCCAGCAAAGCTAAAACTATTATTATTATCAGTTTGTTTTCTGTGATACTGGAGTTAATATGAATGATAAGTGCAATATTGGCAGTTTTGGGGTAATTCCAAGCATGTAGTTGATTATATTACAACCACAATATGATTTGGGACACATTCAGTTTCAGTAAATTTCATTGTGTTAAAGTCAGCATTTGGTTGCATATCCCTTTGAGGCAATGTCTCACGGTCTGTTATCACTGAACTCACCAAAATATTTGGGTGTTCAAATATGTGCAATAATCAGAGATGCTTTACCAAGCCTCTACTGCAGCCACTTGTTTTGTCTGTTTTCGGGGTTTCCTGATTTCAATTCTGTCCTCAGCATGTAAAATTGGATTTCACTCTGCAGATACGTTTTGCCAGTCTACGGTTTTCCGCCGTTATCTCCTGATGAACCTGTTTGGTTACTTTAGCCGTGTCATAGGTTATTGTCATGCTGCCTGGTGAAGGCATGGCCCAATAAGTATGAGAGCATATTGTTTTCTACCAAACGTTTGCTGTGAACTTCCAAATCAATTCAACATCTGCCATCATTATTTACATAATCAATATAGGCAAGTGTGCCAGGTCCAGAGGCAGCCATGCTTAAAAATACCTCTGCAATGGTTCACAGATGAGGTAGTGTTCGTTGAAGCATCTGGTTCATATTTGGGGAGTCCAACAAGCAGCTTATCTTCCAGGTTGTATACTGTATATAAATGGACCTGTGGAAGTCAAGCTGAGCTTAAATAAGAGGTGTTTTTTGTAAATATGTGTTGATACACTGTAAATACGTCACTGTTTTGCACTTTAGGTCCTCCTTTGTTCATGTATTTGCCCAGACCCTGCCTACTTACAGTAAAAGGGCCCTGATACTGTGCCATGTAGTATTAGCAGTAGGGTAGGGCTAGTCTATTCCTCGGAAAGGTGGAAGGAAGGTTTGTTTGCCTTGTTGTTAGTAAGAGAAGGCTTTGAATGTGGAAGGAAATGAATGAGTTCACTGGTAAAAATAAAGTAACCATCCAGTGTTTAGTTTGTATGTTGATTTAGTTATTGTTATTTTCATTGTACCCGGAATATGCACTGGCCTACTAAATTATCACAGGATAGTACTTATAACAGTGAACGGTTTGTGTGTAAAATAAAAAGGAATCATCAGCGATTGGTCAGAGATAAACATGGGAGATGATCATTGTGTAGTCCCGTAGCACCTCAGGGATCTGGGATCCCGTGATGGGATCAACACTGAAACCCGGCCGAGTGACTGATAAGAAATAACTTAATTCTTTCTGAAGAGCAATACATTTAGATGAACTATCAAATAAAATAAAGAATACAGGATAAATTAACCTTTATATTGTTCCATCATTAATTCTGGTTTATGTTTTTATGGATCTTTTGTGGCAGGAGCTGTTGAGACGTTCTAAAAGAAGGTGGGTCCTTACGACTATAGAAGTAACAGAACAAGATGAAGGTCCTTTTCCTAAGCATGCTGCAACAGTAAGTCTTAATTTGGTTACTTAAATTTATAATGATTTGTTTATTACATCTACTTAACTTTTAAGGAAACTGATCATTCCTTTTTGCAGTTCAATAGACACGGACGTCAAATGCAACTTTTTTAAATTTAATTGTTTATTCACCCAAACTACCAGATTTCACATCAAATGGAATAGTTCCTTCACTTATTAGCACTAAAAAGGCACACAACCCAAAACCAATCTGTGCACTTCTCCACCTTAATAAGACCAACATTTTCTATTTATGCTGATTATATATGGTCAAGAACACAGCTAAAATAAAGTTCTTTTGACCTTCATGGATAAGGAATTATATGGATAGCTGTAGATTGGTAACATGTTATTACCAAAATAAACAATTTGTTTATTCATCCAAATTCTTCAATATAATTGTAATTTTTTCTTTCCATTCAGTTCACTGAAGCTCACCTGTTTATGCACTGTCAAGGCCTAATAACTTTGGACATCTGTTTTTCTTTAATAGCTATTTAATGACCAGGTAGTAAACTACCAACTGAAATATGTGATCAGTGGACGTGGGGTGACTGAGCATCCAATAGGAATATTTTCTGTTAATGAAACTGATGGCAGAGTATTTGTGCATAAACCCATTGATCGAGAGATATATCCTGAATTTCACGTGAGTATCTCCAAAGCTTGTTGCAAATAAAAAGATTATTGATAATATTGACCCCACATCCAGTAGCTAATATAGATAGTTATATGGGAGAAACTGTGAAAACTATGACCATATTGGCTATTGTTTAGAAGAGGTGTATCCTTATTTAAGTGTCTGAACTTTACTTCACTTTAGAGATAAGAAATTAAATACAATAAAAACACTATATGTATAATAAAATTTGCAATTTTTATTTTATGAAAAACATTTGGGTAAAGTTAAATTATCTTTATAACCCTTTTATTATAAATGCTTTTAACAAAAATCTCATTCATACTTATTTTTGTATTTTAATACCTCACTTAACATGAAATAAGACTTTTGTTTTTCCTTTAATTGTCAGGTAAAGTTTGATGTTCTTGACAGGGCGACCAATAGGGTTGTGGATAGAACGCTAGCATTTGATGTTGAGGTCAAAGATGTGAATGACAATGCGCCAGAATTCACAATCCCTGTGCAGAATATCACTGTTAAGGAGACCACAAATGAAGGTGAGACATATTGGAATAACATACTGTAATACTGGTTTGTATAAACTGAAAGAATGTTTTACCTACTCAAAACAAACTGTAAAACTCTTTGGGTGCTGTTCAGGGTATTGCATTGTTCTGTATAAGAGCAGAATACCAAAGCAGTCTGATACTATTTCAGATACATCTGGTAGAACTCAAAGCTTTAATGAATGAATGATAGGAACAAGTATTATTAGTATTTTCTGATCAACTGCTAAGCAAATTAATAAAGTTAAACTTAGACAAGATTTCTTCAGCTTGAAGTATAGGTTGATTATACTCTTGTAGAAAAAGTTTCAGATGAAGTCTCATTCTCAGTACATAATTGCATCTTGTAGATACTAAAGAAATGTTGTTTGAGACTTGTGGAGTCCTTATAACTGCACTGAGACGCAAGAAAGGAGAGAAAGTCAGTCATTGTTCTGTATTATATTCACCTTTATGTTCAGTCATTTGTCTCTTTTTTTTTCCACTAAGACCGAATTCTCTAGGAGTAATGCCTCTCTAAGCCTGGGAGACATTAAATAACATGGGAGACATGTTATTAGACATTATGAAAGTCCCTCTGCACATGACAGGGTAGAACGAGTGGCAAATGGTGGAGTGCTTAAGCATATGAGATCTCTTGCCAACATTCAGTGTGGATTGACTTTTTGGACCCAGTTCAAGTTATCTTTACACCACCCTGGCAGCTCTCAGCCAGGTGTTTAACTTGTGGTGCAAGTCAGTGTCTTAATGATTGACCAACACATGAGCCTTCACAGAGTGCTTCTATACCCAACAAGCAGAAGCAACTGACCAGCTAGCCATTTTCCTGAGAAACGTGGATCATCTTTTCTAATCTTGTTTCTTTTTAAGGTGACCTACAACTCAATATAGAAGCAAATGATATTGACCTTCATGGGAGTCCCAATTCAGAATTTAATTTTAAGATGATTTCACAAACTCCTTCTTATCCAGCATTTAGTATTAGAAGGATCACAGGTACAAACAAAGCAATTATATCTTTCAAAGGGTGCTTTGATTATGAGGTAAGTCATTGTAATTATAACAGTAGGCCAATATATAATGTAACAGACATACAGTATAATTAAGGAAAACATTACAGATCCCCAGGGACACAAGTGGAAACTTTGATTTAGAGCAGTCATGATTTAAAATGGGAAGTTTAGAGAATCCAGAATCCAGCATGTTTTCTGAACATACATGGTGTTGAATGTGACTATCTGGAATCCTTTAAGGAAATGGTTTTATAGAATTCATGAGTCATTAATCAACTAGAAACCAAAAAAGCAAGATAGGCTGAACAATCTCTTCTAGCGTTTAATCTTTCTCGGATTCTAATGCAACTCTTACTTTCCTTGAATCAAACATATTGTACCTATGCTCAGTTACCATGTGCAATGACAACATCAGATCTGGCTAATGTCTGAATATTGAAATCTTTAATAGTTTAGAGGCTGTAATAGACAGGTTAAAAAGTGCAAATTGCACAAAGTGCAATTTCAGGATCTGCGAATTCAGTGAATGATTTGCAGAAATCAATTAGTACAATTCAGAACCAAAAGGAATAGGGTTCCTTTTTTTTGTGTTCAGGTTCACATCTGATTGTGAAGACCACAGAGTTATTTTGTACATGTATTTCTGGAACACACAATGGACACAATGCTATAATGTGCTGCAGTTATAATTTCTGTACTTGCCCACTACTTTTACGGTAGGGCAGTCTGTCATGACTCCCACTGGGACAAAAGGATTTAGATTAGATTTAAGAACCATCACAATCTTTGGCAGTGATGCGATCTGAAGTGTGTTGGTGATTGGATTGGAAAAATACCTACTGCATGTTAAGTGGTGTTGCTGTGGTCTTCACATCAGATGTGAACCCTGCCATCTGTGTCTTTTTGTTCTGAACTGAGCTAATTGATTTCTGCAAAATGACCAGCTCTCGTTTTTCAAGGGTTTAATTTGGATCTTGAAATCTGGGTTACACCTTCACAGAGTATGAAGTGATGGGAGGGTCTACCCAAGGCAAAAAAGATTAAACGTCAGCTGTTTAAGACTGTGTTACAGTGGGCTGGTAATCCTTAAGGGTAATAAGGGAGTTTGCGTCTCAGTTGTCAAAGAGTGACAGTTATGTCTACCATTGTTATGACGCTATCAATGTGAGCTTCTCTGTTGTTTTATGTCATTTGTTTCTTAGAAAGAAAAACAATATAGGATCCTTGTGGAGGCAAAAGATAAGGGAGAACCAACTCTTTCCTCTACAGCAACAATCAATATCAACATTGAGGATGGAAATAATCACCCCCCTGTATTTACTAAACAGAAAGTAAGTGAGGATGTTTAATTTTTTTTTTGCACCATATGTCAAATATCTATATAGTTTATTAACTACAAACTGAAATACCTTCTAAGTTATTAAGTCCCAATGCACTTACAACACCCATTCTTATTTCAGGGTTGCTCAATATAAATTTCAACAATAACCGTTGATCGTAAAATGTTGATTAACAGATCAAAACAACCCAGTCACTATTCTCCAAAGAAGGAATAACCTATTACTGTAGATTATTGATTATTAAAAAAAGGCACTGTCCTTCGGATGAGACGTAAAACTGAGGTTGACTACTCTGTGGTCATTAAAAAACCCCAGTGCGTTTCTCAAAAAAAGGGTGTTACCCTGGTGTCCTGGCCAAATTTCCCATTGGTCTTTAACAGTCATGGAATTTACAAACAATATTTTATGTCTTGATAAAAATTAAATTTTTAAAATTAAATGTAATGTATTCTGCAGTAAGCAAGCTGAAGTAATATGTACTCTACATCACTATGTTTCTGCAATATTGTACTTTAATCATGTGTATGTACTCTGTCTCTGTTTTTAACTAAACCATGATTTCAAAATTGTATTACACCTCTGCTAAAAACAGATTTGACCATGTCAATTTCAAGGTGTCAGGAATTATGACTGGAAAATAGGATAGTATTTTAAAAAATACCATTCCTGCACAGATGTATCAATTATGTATCAAATTCAAAAACACAAGCATTGAAAAAAGGGGCTAAGAGATCATGTCCAAAATTGGCAGATGCCATCGCTATGAGGATACAGGAGTCACACGATCTATGTAAAATGGACATCTGTCTTAAAACAAATTAGGTCCCTCCTGGCATACATTTTGTTCTGAATTCAAGTTCCAGGAGAAGATGTCACCGTGTAAAATGAGAAGTCTGTCACAGTGTTTGCCGTACAAAATGAGAAGTCTGTCACAGTGTTTGCCGTACACCTAACTACGTAAATGCAGCTAACATCCATTCCTTAGCAACATACAGTACTTGATTTCATGACATTAGTGGTGAATAACATTTGTGGTATTATGGAAATAGATAGTGCCACAGTGGTGAACATCCATCCATTTTCTTACTGACTTATCTGATACAGGGTTTCAGGTGAGCTAGAGCCTATCCTGACTTAACAACGGGTGCAAGGCAGGATACATCCTTGCCAGTCCATCACAAGGCAGACACACACACACTCACACGCACACCAGGGCCAAATTTCCCAGAAGTTAATTAGCCTGAAAGTGTGTGTTTGGACTGCTGGAAGAAACCAGAACACCCGGAGGAGACCCACACAAACCTGGGGAGAACATTCAAAAACTCCATGCAGATAGCGCCTCAGGAATTGAACCCAGGGCCTCAACACTGTGAGAGAGCAATGTACGGTATACCACTGTGCCGCCATGCTCGACTTGTAGATTTCAAATGAAAAACAAAATCAATGCAGCTTAAAAGGATAAAAGGAGAAGAATGTGAAAATCTGAAAAATGCTTGTAATGATGCACATCTGCGACTCAAAAATATGGAAACATTTGTGCTTTGTTATCAGTGACTGTCAGCATACTATGCCTTCCTTTTAGTATGAGGCCGAAGTGCACGAGGGGGATGTGAATGTGGTTATCCTGAGGATGGCTGTGAAAGATGAAGACAACCCAAACACACCTGCATCAAATGCCGTGTTCAAAATTTTGTCAGGCAATGACAATGGCAATTTCCAAATAGAGACCAACAAAACCACCAATGAAGGAATCCTGTCAGTTATCAAGGTAGGTTAGTTCAGACATACCAGTGCGTTCCCTATTGTTGCCTCAGATAGTTCTTACTTTGGCACATGAAGTGGAGAGGGGCACAGACAGCTGATGTGCTTTCATTTCAATTTATGTTCACTTCAATTTCATGAGAATAAAGTTGGGCATAAGCAAAAATATGTGTTTTTAATTCTGCTTTCTACACAAAAATGCTTTCAATACTGTATGTTTGCACAGTAATGAATGCTGTGTAATGCTGTATATCTTAGGATTATCCACAAACTAAAGCACATATGCATTAGGCTGCAAAGGATGCCACCATTCCATCCAATAAAAGAAGACGACCTTCCATTGTTGCTAACAGCAACAATGTGTCCATATGCCGAACACCAAGTGTTAAGTATGAAAATAATTGTATTACCTTTTCTTTCAGGCTAAAGATTATGAGGAAGCCTCTTTGAAGAATTTAGTGATTGCAGTTGAGAATGAAGAGCCACTATTCACTTGCCCTGGCACAGCTTCCCATCGGAATCTATATGGGCCACAGACTGTTAACGTGTCTGTAGCTGTGAAAAATATTAATGACGCCCCTGTGTTTCAAGGTCTTAAACCTGTGTATGTCTCTGAGGCGGCGAAGCCAGGCACAGTTCTGACGACACTTGTCGCCAAGGATGACGAAACACATCTGAGTAAAATGAGGTGGGTACAAATATTTACAGTATGGTAACTTGAAGGAATTCATATTTAATTAATGCAGAACATCACTATGCTGTAAAAGCATTGACTGTACTAATCAAATGAAATGTGTTTTACAATGTTTTTTAAAACAGAGGTTCAAACAGAGGTCAAATTCCTAACAGCTCCAACCCCTCCTAAATATACACATCTTACCTCAATTCCCTGTTCGCTCCCCTCTCTCTCTCCTTCTCCCTCCCCCCTCTGCTCTATTTCATCATCAGGTGTCCAACTTAATGCACCTGTTGGCCCCAGCCTATCTCTGGTCTATCTCCCTTCCCTTTCTCTCCTGCTGTTCCCATAGTCCCACAGGAACCCTCCCCTGGCTGCCCTGTGGCTGTGAGCACACAGCATCGGTCTCTGCTGGGCCCAGGGACACTGCGCATAGTGAGAAGGACAAAAAAAAGACAAAAATGTAAAGTAAAAAAATTACAGAAGAAACAAAAACATGCACGATAATTATTGGATCATTGAGTGTCTTATCCTTACCCTTTACTTGTCTCAGTCAGCCATTCTGTCCATTCACTGATAAAGCTACCAAGCCAACCTCTGCATTGATACTCTGTCCAGGTCAGTGCAGTATTTCCTGCAGCCTTTTGTTGAATTTCATTCAACCTCCATCAAAAACTATTGATATAATTATTATTCCTCTAAAGCCTCACATATATCTGAACTCCATTCATTGAAGATTTGTGCATTAGAGTTATAGGTTTCCCTTATTCTCTTTTGGGGGTCCTTCCAGCCTGTTTGTCATGGGCAGACTGCTGTTCCCTCAGTCAGACGAGTTATACCAAATACACTTTTATTACATCTCAAGGTTAAATTCATTTAGCATGAATTAGGATTTGCCTTAACGAATGCAATAGCAAAAATTAATCTATATTAAGATGTGATTCCCAATGTATTTGTTGCATTAGATACCACTTACTTTTGAAAATATTTATATAGACAGGAATTGGAATTATAAACAATTTACAGAATTTGCCAGCAAGACTAATCTTGTACAGTGTGTACAGTTCCTGATTTACTCTCACTAAATTATCTGACACACTCCAAGCAAAATATGAATACCCTTAAGGAACACCTGCAACCCGGCTTTAGAATACATTAGGCTCTAGGAGAATCCACCATCTTTAATCCATTTTAGAAGAATGGTAGTGAAATGCTATTTGGCAGTTTGGGTGTGTTTCTGTTGAAGGTAGGTGTGTGTCTGTTGAGGGTAGGTAGGTGGGTGTGTACCTGTTATTCTTTTAACTTATGACATATGATCAGTCTCAGAAAAAAAAAAGCTGAAATACTTGTATATAAAGTTGGCAGAATATACAATACAAAATGTAAGACATAACTCAACATTGGAAACTGTTTGGATGCGTTTGTTAAAAAGTAAACTGCCTCAAAAAAAGGAGAATTGTCTTATTTTTGAGTTAGTCCACCTCCAGTGGGGATGACAGCAACAACACTTTGCTCTATCAGTTCCACTTGATAACTGCAAGTGTTTGCAGAGTAATGGGACCCTCAGCCATTATTAGTTAATGCAGCTCTGCACAGGATGGTTCAGTAGTTTCTTGTAGCCTGAGTGGTGCTTCCCAGCTGTGGTTCTTTTTTTTTTCCCAATCACTTCATAAATAACCCTTGAACCTTGTCATTATTCGGGCTTTCAGTAATACACCAGGGGCATCGACAATGTTGCATCTTGTGAGGTCATGTACTTCAGCTTCTTTTATTATATTTGCCAGAGAGGAAAAAAGTGATGTGTTTATTTTACAGGGATTTGTCCAGTATTGAAACCTTCGGTTGCTATAACAAGTCACCCCCTTCTTCCCAAAGGGCAACAAGCAATGCAGTTGAAATGAACAAACATAATATATCACAGAGAAAGTAAAGGTTACGTCCACTGTGAAATGTAGAAAGAGGAAGCCCAGTATTTCCATTGTCGAGTCACATTTTAAAAAAATAAACATTTTAGCTAACCAACGCGTCATAATGATATTAACGAACTCTATGCACCAAAAAATTAAATCTCTAATTTCCCACATTTTGTATGAAATTTAAACTTTCACTGCACTCCACAGCTTGAACACATTACTTTAAAGACTTTTAAATGTGAATATGTATGCAAAAGAACAGGGATCTCTACACGTTTGCAGGTTTTGACTTTACACCTCTCTTGACTTCACACCACCTGAATCTTCACTCTGCTTCTCTCCTGCTCCCGGGTTTTGTTCTCCTCTGCTTTAACAGCTGCCGGTTTTCCTCTCTCTCACACCCATAGAAGGCTCCACAGCCTTTGCAGTTTCTTTTGTGTTCCTTTTCTTTTCTTTTCAGCATGGAATACTTTTACTTGTTCCTTAGCAGCCTATGCATGCTGACACAGCTATCTACAGTACTTGAACTACTGGGAATATTTAGGCTGAGCTCCACCATGTGAGAAAGGCTCCATGGTTATGGAAACGAAGGAGAAAAATGAGATGTACAGTGTGTAAGAATGTATCTATTTAGTGAGTGTGGGGGTGATCCATGAGATTTTTTTAACAACAACAACAACAACAACAATAATATTAAAATGAGAATAATTTTCTTTCACTTGTTTGAAGGTATGAATTGGTATCAGATCCTGCTAACTGGGTTGCTGTTAATGAACAGACAGGCCAGATTACAAATATCAAGGAGATGGACAGAGAATCACCCTTTGTTAATAACAGCATATATGCAATTGTTGTACATGCTATTGATGATGGTAAGTAGCCTCATGGTATTATAAATACAAGACAAAATTAAAAAACAATACCTAGCGAGTGCTAGAATTATATTATAACAGAGTAAAAACACTTTAAGTTTAATAGCTATTTCTGTTTTTCAATCTGTGCTTTTGATATTTAAACATGTCAAAATGTCACATCTTCCAATAGGTAAGATTTCATAAGTACAGAGAGGTACTGTAGTTTCAAGGAGGAAGATAAAGGTCATTTCTGATTGTTAATATTTAGCTTCAGAAGTTTAATAGCTGAAATACGTTGCTTTTGCTTTGCAAATAACATGTAAGGTTTTACAATAATTCCTGTGCTGTCTAGGTGATCCACCAGCAACCACCACAGCCACTGTTTTAATTCACCTGAGCGACGTCAATGACAACAAGCCCTACCTCATCACAAAAAACGTGCACATATGTGGAGACTTGGATCAAAACTCAGTGACAGTCACGGCTGGGGACAAAGACATTGAGCCCTATTCAGGGCCTTTCGCTTATGAGCTGCTGGACAAAGGCCAGGATGTGAAAACAAAATGGAAACTGGATCAAACAAGTGGTGAGCAGTGCCACGACACAGGCAGTTGTCTCATGAATGAATAATGAATTAAGGTTCCCGCAGAGGTGAAAATCGACAATAAAACTTTCTGTTACACAAAAGTGTTTTCTAGATATTCACTGAAAAACGAACTTTCAGAATTGTCATCAAATATACAGCAAGTGTGCCAAAGTAAATGGTACAAAAACAGATAGAAATTAGACTAATGGCATGTCTGCACACATAGGCTAGAGATGTTATTTATAAGGTATTGGATTTTTATTGAATTTGAATTTAAATCTAGTAGAATGTATTTTTTTTAAGAAGAAATATTTCAAAATTGTTGAGCTTATCTCGGTTTTGTGTATGTCACCCGGTTTTCAGTGCTTCAGCAATCACTGAATGAGTGATTGCTTTAGAGGCATTTGCTTTGTGTTGTCTTTGCTCGCAGGAGATTCAGTTGATCTCAGGAGTCTACAGCGTCTTCCGAATGGAAATTACAGTGTGCCTTTAAAAATCGAGGATAAGCAGGGTCAGTCTGCAGAGGAGAATCTGTATGTACAGGTCTGCGATTGTGAAGGAATGAACCATTGTAGACCCTTGAAAGCTAAGTCCTCAGCTCTAGGTGGTGCTGCCATTGGAATTCTGTTAAGCTCTCTGCTCCTTCTTCTGCGTAAGTAACTCCTGTGCTGACAAATTTACCATTGACAAGCAATGAATAGTAAAATGGAATACCATATTTTCATTTTATTCTTTACCAAGTGAGCAACACTTTGTATTTTTCAGAAAGTACCCCACAAAGAAAATGTTTTCAAAATGATTCCACTTCAAATATTATTTAGTTAAGGTTTTACCGTATGTTTGTTCTGGCGAATGTCTGCTCAGTTTTACTAATGTAACCACAAAAATATTCAGCACTTATACTGTACAAATCCCAACACTTAGTAAACTTGTATGTTTATTTGCTTCATGCTTTGTTCTTTAAGAATTTCCTCTAAGGATACACCTGTGATTGTTATCACAGTGTGAGAGTGACAACTGTGACTGTTTGACAATTGCTAGAGAGACAGTGTATTCACAGCTTTTCAACTCAATGCAGTTTATACCGTGATGACAGGTGTTGCAGAGGCATAGTGTTTAGATCAGGCAAGTCAGGACAGCTAAACTCGTTAATAAACAGATAGCTAAAGGGAGAAAAAACACTGAATTTAAATAGAGTCCTGAACTCAGGCCAAAAGTGTATTTGCTATCTGAAGTGCCGCGTGCCATGTTTTTGCCTTTAAATATGGTAAGAGGGGTATAATCTGAAAACTTTTCAGCTTTTCAGATTTATGTCATGCTTTCTGGTTGATTTGTTAATGTTTGTAAGTATAATACAGTACAGTATATGGACTGTTTCTGTATAACCAGGTATCTCATTATCTAATCCTACTCAGGATACAGTTAGAGAGTTCAGGTGACCATGAAGAACAATAAATGGTACTGCAGAAAAAACAACAACATTTAGTCTTTGTCTCTCAAAGTACGTTTTGCCCTCTTTCCCGCTGTACTGCAGTTCTTCTGTGCCTATGTCTGCTATGCAGCAGTGGAAGGGAGACTTTAAAAAAAATCCCCATCTATGGCCAGGATGAAGGAAACCAAACTCTCATTAAATACAATGAAGAGGGTGGGGGGTCCATGAGTCAGGTGAGAGCAACATTCACTGGGATTAGACCCCAAATAACTTTTTAATTGTTTTCTCTATTTCAGAATAGGTAGATCATAGTTTTGTGGCAACATTGCAATGGGTGTGTTGTGGTTAATAAGATTAACGGTGATTCACTAGGGGCAACAACATTCCAGTAATTGAATGCTTTGTATGTGTTTGATAAATTTGTTGAGAAAGGTCGATCCCACCCTGAAGGAGAAGCAGGTGGAGATGGGGTGAGGGAGTGAAGCCTGAGACAAATGTGAAGGGAGCTGTTTGAGTTTGATATTTACATACAATATAGCTAATTTTGTGGTGATAGTGATTGGGAACAGCTGTATGTCATTGAGGAGGATATGTACTCCTGTGTTTGGGGGGATATCCCAAAATATCTTACTGAATTATAAAAAGGTAATATTAAGTTTGAAACCCCTTTAGACCGGGCAGACAATCATTATGAATGTCATGGGCAGTAATGGAGCTACGGATGGAGTGAAGCAGGCAACACTGCCGGTAAGGAGACCGACGGCGCTATAGTGTTAACTGTCTACCCGTCTTCCAATACAGGATTTCTGACTAGTTTTATTAATGCCGCGATGATAGTTTGGAAAGTAAGAAAAAAATGACTCTACATTGCAAAGTAAACAGAAAAAATGTAAGATGTTATTTTGGAATCATATGTATTTTTTTTACTTTACTTACTCAGTGTATCTCCTTTTAAAAACTTCTTTGTTAGAGAAATACATACTATAGGCTGACTAGAGTCATTCATGAAGGAATCTCAAAGTAATTTGAAAAGACTGTTCATTTTTTAAAATAATTCTCATCTTTTACATATTTGCCTCAGCTGCACGCTCAGATTCGTCCCTGGTCAGGGATGAGGTCTGATGAGACTGATGGCACGATGTATAGGAACGGCATAAATTCGGTGAGTAGGAGGAGTTTCCTGTTATTAGGCATATTAGTTTGGAAGGGTTTGCACAATTATGGTCTGGATTGGTTAAGTTATTAGGTCAATTAATGTGGGAATTTTCGAAGCTAAGTTTGCAGTTTTAAATGTCGTTTTTGAGACTTTAGATGAACTATGCTCAGAAAGACAAAATAGAGTACATTTTGCTCCTTCAGGAAAGTGCTTTGAAAGTTGCTCTAAAAAAGGTTTCATGATGCATTTCCACCAAATATTCAATCTCAGTCTCAGTGTTTCAGTTTCTTGGTAAATTGAGTTCTTCTTGGGGAATTGTTTTAGTTTTGGATGATTTGTTAACAGGGAATTAAACATACACCTGTAGCAACAAAGCAGTGCCATAACTCCTAATTTAATCTTCCTTTGTCATTGGCGAGATTACAGATTAATTCATTCAATTAACTCACTCATCAGTACATACAGGTACGATGACAAAACAGTTCATTCATTCGTGTAGACTTACATGTGAATGTTTAAATCAGCTTTCAGGATAAATTGTTTGCTTAACAATTAGCATGTTAGCTGTAGAACTTACAAGATAATTGTTTGACAGTAGAAAATGAATTTTCAGGAGTTTAAATTTCACTGACTTCTCTAATTGTCTGGATGTGCTGCAAGTTTGTATGCAGTTCATTAATTTCATAATGATGAATGAATAGGTAAATTAGAAAATTAATGGATGAACTGACTGTTTTAGCACAAAGGAGACACATTCATTCCTGATTCCTTCAGGGCAGTGAACACAATTTTAAATGTAATGTGGTAGCTGTTGTGTTTGCAACAATATTTACGATCGTATACACTATACGATGCCTGGCTACCCATACCCAGGATTGGCTGGGCATGAATTTATATGGTAATTATGTTGTAAAATTATACCAAGTTCCACAGCTGACTTTTCAAATTAATGTTGCCTGTGTCTGTCAGCTTCATGTCTAAAGCACTTATATGTGTTGCTTCCAAAGAGGCATTAAGTAATTGATACTAATGCCAGTTTATTTAGCATTCCACTTTATTTGTACTTAGATGAATAATAAAAAAACAGAAGCAAATGTATTTAATCCATTTGAAACTAAAGACTTTGTAAATGAATTAGGATTACAATAAGCATTTATTGCAAGGGTATTATTTGCTTTGTCTTATTTTTAAATTTCATTATGCTAATCATTTTAAATATATCATTTGATCTATATTTAAGGGAACACTACTACATGAGATTCCCACTCGTTCACAATCTCGTCAAAGCCTGTGGAATAGCAGAATGAATATCAATGAAGTGAGTACTGTATTCTGTAGGTAGACTTCAAAAACCAGGCTCTCCGTACTCCAGTGTATTCTCATATTTGTTACAGCTGAGCTCCACCCTCTTAAAAAGTGGCAAATGTTAAACAGTTTTTAAATTGACAGTTAGTTTAAAATCATTTACTCTTTCAGATCAGAAAACAAATGAAGAGGTCTAATTGAGTGTGCGCTAATTTCAAGAGAGGGTTTAACTGAGATTGGATGGAACACAAACAGGAAACCTTTGGGGTTGCCTAGTCTTTACCCAGAACAGGGGTCCCTGCTCAGGTGGGCTGGTGGTCTACAGGTTTTCAATCCATTGTCAATTAGTTTATTACTGGATTAAATGGACCAATTTACCAGTTTGCAGCCCTAGGATTGGGTACACTTGCCTAACAATCTGGACTGAGCAGTCTCAATCTGTTCGGTTGCTTCAGTGTTTCCTGGATACATTTTGTATGATAAGATAGTTGAAAGTTACTCAGCAAAATGTTGTTGTTTTTTTCCTTTTGCTGTATAAGTGAAATAATAGATTTTAACTAAATTGTCTATTTCTAGTTCTTCATTCAAATATGAACAGTTCAGCTCAATAAACAACTTTTACACACTGGGCTCCATTTGTAGATCTGCCTTTTACATTTTTTAAATCATTTTCATACATTAAGTCATGTATATTTAAGTGTGACTTTTATCGCTCATTTTCAGGATGGAACTTTAAAATACTCCAGATCTAACAGCATGAGACTGCATGGTTTTGACGCCGCACAGAATGAACTACAAGAACACATAACAAGGGTAGGAAACCAGTTCATTTTTTAAATTATAGTCCAGTAGTGTCGGCATGTCACTGTCTATGCATAGGTTTGCAAACCCCATCAGAATCAATATACTTTGAAATTCTTAAAACCTTTTAGCTTATATTATGCACATCATAATATACTTCATTTTCACATCTGTATGTGCATGTGTACGCAATTGTACACAATTACAGGGTGTTCATAATGGCTAAAAGACTGGGAGACATTTGCATTAAGTAAATCCTTTCTGAATAGAGAGATTTATAGAAGAAGCACAGCACCAAACCCCCCTGAGCTAAAACCACCTGTTTATCCAGGGAAACAGCTTTTATTATGTGTTAATTATAGTTCTCACTTTACATGCCAGCTACAAGCAGCAACTTGTTTTTGCTTTGTATCTCGATTGAGCTGATCATGGATGTAATAAGGCATTGCTAAATTAATTTAGTTTCCTCAATATAAGTTTCAGCTTTGAATTAAAGTTAACAATTGTCAAAGCAAGAGTTTTTGGACAAGTAATTGATGTTCAACAGTTCCTGTACTTGACTGCACAGCTGAATGTGTTTGTGACAACATGATATGCATCCACTTCTTTTGTTTTTTTTTATATTGAATTACTGTAGTCTGTAATGCACAGTTACAGTGAAAAAAAAAAGAATCCTACAAATTTGTTAGACCACACACTATGGAAGATTACCCAAGAACTTTCTTAAAAGCTAACTGTAGAAAATAATTCAAAATACACCATGCAAATCTAATCTAGGCTTATCTAGCACCCAAACTGTCACGGAAGTCGGAAAGGATGAACCGTGGAAAGACAGGAGAGCATGAAGACCCTATGTGTAGCGGCGAGACAGGGGTTAGCCCGGGCTCAGCTGTTCAGGAAATGCCGTATAGAAACCTATGCCCTCAGGTAGCGGACGTGGGGCGACCTGGTGCTAGGCGGGTTTCAGGACATCCGAACGTCAATGCTGAGCGAAGGCAGATGAAAGACCCAGAAATATATAGCCCCAGAGAGAGAGAGAGACACCGGAAGGACAGCAAAGCAGCGGAAACAAGAGACAAGACAGAGAAGGAGCACCTCTGGCTGCAGAGGGCGAGACACAAACAGAATTTAATATTCCTCAGTGACTGAGTGTCTTCTATTCCTCCCAGTTGGGGTGTTTCATGGTAAAGGATTAAAGCTAGGTAAAGCACTCACTGTTTATTTCCATATGTTTTCAGGATGGCAAAACAACAAAAACAAAACCCCATAAAATAACATAAGGGCATCATAAGATTAATTTTCTTACAAGGCAATCCAAAACCAAAACAATAAACTGGTTACTTTTAGGAGTTCACAGAACAGTCACCTGGTATACTCTTCTGTGAAATACAGCAGGTATTGCATACAACACAGTCCCTTCACATACAACAGGAGCCAAGATGGCTGACTTTGCCCGCAGAGCATGCAGGTTACTGGCCACAGCAGGTGAAGACGCAGTCGTGGTGTTGTTTTCTGCGGGAAATGCTTAAGAACACAGAACACAGACGCAGAGGATATGATACAATACAACGATATTCCGTTGTCCGATTTCTCAGAAATTTGTCTTGCATCAAAGTAGCTATGTTGTACACACACAGAAACCTACACATAGTACAAGTAAACATTACATTACAAAACAGACATGTACCCATATTAATTTCACACCACTTCTTCAGGAATCCACACAACTGCACATACATTTAAATTTACACCCCACAATTACACTAAGCCCATATGATCACACATTAATTTTGCACATAATCCACTGATTAGTTCAAGTAGTATAACACCCAAAGAAGGCTCAACAGCTGAAATGTTGTGGTTTTTTTCTTCTCTTTTCAGGGTGGAATAAACCTTTACTTGTTCCTAATCCATTGATAACCCATATTCCATTATTTATTTATTGTGAACTAATTTATCGATTTAGTGGTTTAAGTGTCTGATAAAAGAAATTCTGATTGTGTTAAGCCTACCTTAAGGAACTCTGTTTGAAGGCCTTTACAGATATTCTTCATGTAGAACATGAGAGGGATCAGAAGGAATTCTAACAGCTAATGTCAACAGACTCTTTAATATAAGAAGTCTGAAAGCTCTGCTCAAATGGCTGCCCCACTATCTTAGAATCAATCCTCAAGGGTCTGAAAATATTGGCTTTGAATTGCACAGAAAGGTAGTCATACCAGATAGTTATTCCATACTTGTTACACTTTGTATCACAGGACTGAAACACATGGACAGAATCTTACTACTAGTACCAAAAGCCTGTAACCTACAAAGTAAATTATCCTTGTATGTAGAAATAAGATAAAAACTCAAAAGTGAATTTCAAGTAGCATGTTCTAGCCAGCACGATAATAGGTCCCAGTCAACATGGATTTAAGAACATCAGGTGTTGTTTAACTTGATACATTTCCTTAAGGCAAATCAGGAAAAGGCTTTAGGAGTCTGTGTTGACTTGTCATTTTTGGCTCCTTTACAAGCTCTAGGCAATGTAGGGAAATGATCAAAAATGTGTTTTTTTTCCCATGTTCAGGAAATGTATTGAATTTAAATCAAAGGATGGGTTTTTAGGATTATACTTAGAATATTGCATGCATTTTTGTTCAGCTTGTTAAAAAGAGCGTTTCCCTGAAAGTAGCTGAAAGAGGAGCTTCCAGAATAACTTGGTTTAGGCTAGAGAAGATTGAGGGTCTTTCATGTTTTTACACAAGGATGCATGGGCAAAAAAATAAAATAAAGATAGCTTATTTTGGTCTGCAAATTGCCAACATCTCTTTACACAAAGGTGCATAGGTGTCTGAAGCACACTGTCAGGATGTAATTCAAGATCAGTCACAGAATCCCCTTCAAGAAATGTCTAGATCAGATCCTCAGATCAATAAGCTACCACTATTTAAAATGAATAAAGTATATTGAATGATTGCCTTCTCTTGTAAACTTCTCTTGTAAACTTTTATTTTTCTAGTGCATGAGTTCAAGATTCTTCCTCGATTTAACTGATATAGTGCACTTTATAAGAGCTTATTTGCAGGCAGTGACTGATACAATTTTCCCTCCTCAGCGGCTGTACCAGTTGAGAGATATCGAGGATGATGTCACACAAAATCTTCCACACATCTACGCCTACGAGGGTCAGGACAGCCGGCACCAGTCTCTGGATCGGCTCTCCATTGCCAACAGCTCCAATAGCTTGAATTTCCTTCACAACCTAGGGCCAAGGTTCAATACGCTGGACAGGATATGCCACCAGACTATGCAGGAGAAAGGCATGAAATTATGAACATTTTTTGAACAAAGGTCTTGTGCAACTGTTGTGCAAAAACTAAGCAACATGCAGTGCAATGAAATATGAGTAATGATACGAGCTGCCACACTTGGAATTTTAAAGTAAAACCCTTGCAATAGGGGTCAAGTTGAAAAAAGTCATGGAAATTAAACTTTGCTTCAGAACACTTAATGCCATTCCAGCAGTTTGAAAAAAACTACTTATCCTTTTGTGGTATAAAGAGCTGTAGAAAGACATGTTACATGGCAAAAGCACAGTATATTTTGTCTTCAGAGCTGTGTTTTTCATATTTAACAGTTTCAATTGTCACTGAAAATGGGAATTGTACCCACAGATTGTACCCACAGATGATAGAACTGAAAATTAAACACCACTTCTTTTATAGGGACAAAATCTGAACCTGTCTGATGTCTTTTCCTGGTAATTAATGGAAATGACAGAAAAAACATATGATAATGTGTACAAAATAATGGTTAGAGATAGCTAAGAAGGGTTTAGAAGAGAAAGGTCTTAACTGACTTACTATTTACTGTATGTGACCCACAGTGTGACAAACAATATTATTTAAGGATGTAACATGCTAACTTTAGATTTCAGAAAGGTTTTGATAAAACCCTTTAAGTTTCAGTACGTTTCTGATCTATACCAGAGACAGAAATAGGAATATACACTGTACATGTCGCCATATCATACATATCGGATGAGTCTGACAAAAAGAAATGTATTTCCTTTAGATACCTGTAGATGTCCTCATTAAACAATGAGAGATAGCAAAAAACTCAAAATGCTTGTAATGCTTGAGTTTATTGGATAGGACAAAATCTGTAGAATTTCAATCAAAAGAAGTTATGCCCAGGCTTTCCATAATAATTATAATGACATTTATAATGATACCCAGTTTTGGTCATCATAACTAAAAGGTTATAGCTTTAGAAAGAGTTCAAAAGCAGTAAAAAAATGAGTACAATAGTTACTAGGGATTGTCACATGCAAACACCTTAAAGAACGTAGAACAAACTATTTTTAGAACAAAGGAGTTTGAGAGATTCTTTTCAAGTGTATAAATCATAAGGGCTAGAGATAGGAACAACCCAGTGGAGTCCTTCAGACTTGGAGGTGAAAAATGCAACATTGTTTTGTAAATTAAGAATAAAGCCCTTAGGAAACATTTAGATGGAGAATCGAGACATTTCTTTACTTAAGGTTTTGAGTTTCTAGAATAGGCTTCCCAACCAGGTGAATCAGACTTTTAGACTCACTGAGGAACTGACCAATCAAACAAGCAAGATGGGACTTTTCATTTGTTCTTAACTAATGGAGATGGTAGCAAATATTAATGAAAGCTTAGAGAAAGCAACAGAAAGAAAAGCAGGTGATTTTCTTTTGTTTGATTTCATTCTACATGTAAATGTAATCATGAAGCATAATACTGCCTAAACATCCCTCAAAAACAGAATCAAGGACAGTAATTATTTAAGGAAGAGGCAATCTCATGATTCATATCATGGGTGAATAACTTGCTAAGGTGATGGAATGGGTAAACTGGAAGAAAGCACATTTGAGGGGCGGAATCAGGTCCATAAAGCAGAACCTCAAATCAGACAAGATAGGTGGCGTTCTGTATTAGTCAATTTAAAGATTTTGTCTTGCAGACATTGTATGCCCATAGAAAAAGAATTGGAAACTTCAAAAGAAAGAATTATATGATATTGCATTATAGGTAAGCAATTATATTACTGTACAAGGAAATATGAGGTGATCAAATTGACAGTAAAAAAGACAGTAAAGGAAAAAGTAGAGGTTAAATCCACAGTGAAAGGTAAACAACACTGATGTTGATCTAATTTAGTTAGAAGACCATAGCAAACTGTATGCAAATAATATAGAATTAAGAAGCCAAATACATGCTAAATATGCACTATTTTAAATAGCAATAATCTTTTGCTTTTTCAGACTCTTAACTATACTGTACACTATGCATTGAAATATTAAAAACATCATATTTCATCAAACAGATTACATTTATAAATGAGTGCATGAGGTTACCATGATAGTCTTTTCCCAGTTGTGCCTAAGTTACATTTTCTTGCTGAAACTCTTTCAGATATACTTTAAAATACAGCCATCCCTTTTTTTTACTGAAACACTGCATGACCTTAGAAATTACATAACATAAAGCTGAAGTACAATACCAGCTTTCTTGTCACAATGATCTGTTTCTTTAGAGAAGGTGATGGTAATTTCTCAATTTTCTGTTAAAAAATAGATGTGAACAGCAAAGCATCTGTAAAAAAACTTTTCTGTTTTTCATTATGTTTGTTGTTGGGTAGTAGAGTTATAAATAGTGGTATACAATACATTGTTAAAATGCAACAGTATTTGGGGTTATTTTTTGTAAAAGCAAATGTTGACTGGTATGTAAATACTGCAGTATTCTGGTACAGTTTTATGGAATGTTATTTTTTAACTTAAGACAATATAGGTATTTTGATTTTAGATGTGTAAAACATTAAACCTGGGCTTTTAGACCTTTATATTATATTTTTTAAATATAGTATTCTTGTAAATACATTTAACACTGCATTACAGACATCATTGTAAGGAAATAGAAAGAATTGTATGGTTGCGTCCTTAAAAATGTCTATATTGGAATTTGTATCAAAAGTTCCATGTTTCCTAAATTTTTTCTACCTAAGCAAGCCTTAATAAAAGTTATGGACTTAAAGGGTTGTGTGTTAAACTTTAAGTTTTTACATTCTGTTGCAGAATTTGAAGACGCAATTTACATTTGTATGACTTCAAAATACAACTTGTTAATTGAGTATGGTACGAATTATAAGCAAATATTGTAGCAAATATTGCTTTGTAGTATCCAGTTATTGCAAATACATACAATTCCCAATCAATGCTACTATGTCTAACTACTTGGAACTGCAACTCTTTTAGTTTAATTTAGCTTGTGTGGTATATAATAGCCAATCTGTAAAATCCATAAATGGGCATTTAAAAAAATCACAATCTGAGTTACAATTATTGAAATTCATAATTGGTACTTTGATTAGGATGTGAATGGCTGAAAGTTTGTTCTGGCGCAGTTTGGCTGCCGTGGAATCATTCAGGTGGGGTTACACACTGGTGGTGGAGAGGAGTCCCCATTATCTGTAATGCACTTTGAATAGAATGTCCAGAAAAGAGCTGTGTAATAATACCAATACTATAGATAATTGCTCTGCAGTTCCATTGACAAAATTTCCAACTTTTATTCATAGATAGGAAGACTTATATAATGAAGAAGTAAACACCAGTCAACGCAAACCTTTTGCTTTAATGCACTACAGCGTCTTAGCGTCTCAAAAAAAACTGGAGCACTATCCTTTTTAACAAAAAAAACCCACATTCTTCCCCTCCTTGGTCAAACAAAACAACTAATAATCCCTTGGCTACCACCAACGCAAAATCCTTTTTGAACCACACCTGACTTGCCTCATAAAAGGAATTTCAGTTTCAGTTGCAAAGTATCACGACTGATGTCTGAAGAGTTAGTTCCACGTGCTTACGCTGACCACTTAATGTTCGCTTTAGTGCTACAAGTGGGCTCGCCCTGCCCTCTAGTGGCCGCATGCTGTAGCTGCAACATACCTCCTCCCGTCAGAAACAGTATACTGCACTACAGTATAGTATAAAAGCCCTCATTTGTACCTCCTTTTTTGGTCAAAGGTGATGGACTGCTAAACAAACGTGCACCAAAACATCACTTCCATAAATAAGTCATGTCGTCACTTTCATTAAAACTGCTTTGCGAGAACTGTCCTTCATTTGTACTGAGAGCAAAACCTAAAAAAAGCCGGGCTGTGATCAGTAGTATTCCTCAGGACAGACAAGTGATCCTCTCTTCCCTCAAACAACAGTCTGATAACCATCCCCATCTACAAGGGTATTGACTGAGCCACAGCATGCTGAATGTCCCAATCTCTCCCAGACACACCAATTACTCTAAACTAGATAAAAAGCCTTACAAATTAAAGCACACAACAACAATCACCAAATAGATGTCAGTGCTGCCCTCAATAAATCAATAACATTGACTAATTATTGGAACAGAATCAGGCTCTCTGATCTGTGGTTGTTTGTGAAGGACTAGCATTGTCTTTGGGGTGTCTTTAAACCTTGTGCATGTACCACAATCATTTCAGTGTAAGGCATATTCAGTTCAGAATAACTGAAATTTGTCTCAAACTACAGTTCATTCAATTAGATCTGTTATTATATGTGTTTTTGTGTTGTATGTTAGTTTCAGTATATTTTATATTTCAAAAGCTGTAATTTTTCTTCTCATACAAAGCACTGCATTTCTCCAGCAGTAAGAGGAACATGTGATATACATATATGCATGCCATAGAATCCTTTCTGTCGATGCCATTTTTGGGTAAATGAAAACCCCAGAATGTGTCTCCCAATGTATAATAGGAGCAGCAACCAACTTTGACAAGCACATCCCTCTTTAATAAACTATTAGGTGGCACTGTCAGTAGGTGAAAAACCTGCAAGGTTACTGTATGTTTTAAGGAGAGCAGCTACCCTGAGGGTTTCTGTGTTCTGTTCTCACAAAACAAGCTTTACTTGACCAACAATGGAGCATGAGTCTTACTAACATGCTTTGCAACAAGTGTAAAGGGTCTTTAAAAGGGTATGTAGAAGTGCCCTTCATAAAAATTAGCAGTGATAGGTATAAATACAGCAAGAAAATACAGATAGATTTTTTTCAGTGCAATGATAGCCTAAAAAATATTAAGGATTTTATTTCAATTACTGTTTGACAGCTGAATTAGTCCCCTTGTCATATGTACAATACAAAAATGTGCGCTTGCTTGGAATTTCTATCACAGGCTGTTCCTTCATTTATCACAAGGGGGCATAATAGGGCACTTCTAATATGAAATGCTAATTTTCGGGTGTTCTCAGGGAGTGCTGGTTTCCTTCCACTGCCCAAAATTCTGCTGCGTAGATTAATCAGTATCTTGAAATTGTGTCTTTGTGGACAGTTTGTGTGTATTTGTGTGTCCTCAAATATACTGGCACTCCATCCAAGATATAGAACCACCTTGCGCCCTGTCCCTTTGACTTCAGGTTGGCACAACTCCTACCAGGAACAAGCAGCTTTTGGATCAAGATAATGGGGGCAAATGCGAACAAAATCAATTCTAATAATTGAATGTTTCCTTTTTTGGCTTACAAAAATATTGTTTTTTTTAAAACAAACAGTTTATAATATTTAAAAAAATAAATGCTAAGGAATAATTCAGGAATGTGGATGCCTTGCTCTTTAATGTCACAATGTACAGTACATAGTAATTTCAAGAAAACAACTGCCTTAATAAGACTGCCTGTTGATCAATTGTTTAATGTACTTTTGCATTTGATTATTCATTTTTCAGTTAAATATACACTATTAACTTTAAGAGTGAAACTAGTATTATCAATAATACTTTTAAGAAGTAATAAATGTGTGTATAGATGTAAACTTGTTTGTACAGTACATTGATAGTTGGGGGCTCCTGACCACATTTTGACAGAAAAGCTTGCGTGATTAAACTGGCATTTGGAAATATTTTTGTGAGATCATGAAGAAAAATAGGTGTGGTTAGTAATCAGCAAATTATTCCCGTAATGGAAAAAAAAATACAGACGATTAGTTGTTACATGTATACAGTAGGTAAAATTCTTAACTAACTCTTAAAGAGATACTGTATCCATACAGCTAAGAAATATACAATATATGGAATTATATAATGGTCTCACCTGAAATATATTTAGAATGTATTGTATGCCATTTATATCATACAGTACTTTGAAATTATTTTTTGTAAATCAAAATAATTGCATTTATTCTTTTTTGTCTTAAATATTGTTACAAATGGGGTTACAAAAATGGTGAAAATCAGGAATTGACCAAGCAGTTTAGTCAATCAGTGAAACAATTATTCATAACCCCCAACTTGTAAGTGATTTCTAGCAATATACCCAAGTGGCTGGTATAATTTGTTCTTTGCCACAGCTTTGTTGAGAGGAGTAATAATCCAGACAGACGCGGTTAAACAAGTATTTATAACTACGACAAAACACAAACTACACTACACACAACAAAACATACAACACACAAGCTACTCTATGTATAGTATTTTCAAACAAGGTGTTTTGGAGACCTAACATTCTGGCCACCTAGAAAACCCCAGACTGCTACTAAGCATTAAACTCTTAATATGCCTAGAGAGGCCACACAAGAGATGAGGTGCCTTCTAACTAAAAGCAGTGCAACCTGCATTTAAATCTCTCTCTCTGCACTCAGGATGCCACAAAATAAATGGGAGCCTATATCCCTATCCATAAGAATGCACCCTAAGCAGGAAAGATGTTTCTAACTGAGGCATCTTTCACCCAGTAAACCCTGGTTCCCAAAAAACACAGAAAAGCATGCTCTCTCTAACAGGGTTCAGATACTGAGCTCCAGTCAGGTTTGATTTGGATGATCATGAAGTAGGGGCGGACTCTCTCTTCTCCCTCCTTCCCCCCAGCCCCCCATATGAACAATTTAATTGCTATTTTGTCAACAAAAAAAAAACATGTTTTAAGAGTATATCTGTTTAATCCAGCATATTGAGAATGTTGTGTCCAATAATGTTGTGTCCAATAATTATAATATTTCAGAATATTCAGTTTAGGTACTTTTCCAATGTATTTGCATAGTGTAGCACAAGTATACTGCATGTTACAACCAGCAGAATTCACCAACAATTCTTTTAACAATTGTCGGAATTGGCTTCTCTTTCATGAATCTGTCTGTCAGCATTCTTGATTACTCCACCCTGCTTCTAAAGAATGGGTTGGTTTCTCTGTTTGTCCCACTGCACTTGTCAATTAGCAACAGATGCTTTTGTACTAATTTCAGTGACTCTCACACCTCAATGCAGCCACAGCCTTTCAGGTATTATATGGCAGATAAAGTAATAATAGCCCTATGGACTAAAGGCCGCAGTATATTGGTCATTAAGAGCTACAGCAGAATGAAAAACAGAAGACCCGTGTTCCTTCAGGATAAAAATAAGTATAGTTGCAAAAGTATTACATTACAACATTGAACATGACTGAAGGAACCTCAGATGTGGCTACTCCCCTATAATGCCTAAATAGTAGTTACCACATAGAGTGTCTCAGGTGAGCACAGTGTCAGTGGATATGGGAAAAGAAAGTTTCACAGGAAAATTCCCAGGCTACATATCCTGCTCAAAACATGAAATATGATGTAGATGTTTGCATAACAACAACAGAAGAAATACTCTACCCTGCCTTTGCTAAGATGTGCCGTAAATCCACACACAGGACATGAAACTCTTGCCAACAACCATGGTTAACACTGTACAATAGATTGTCACCCTTTTAAATTTCACAGAAAGTGTTGGTGTGTGTCATGTCCTGCTGGCTATCCCTCCTTATCTTTCACTCTACACAATAGTTTCCAAAATTAATTGGGCACTGAATCTGATTTGTATTTGTTTATTGCAAATTAATTTTGGTATCTGGATAAATAGTAGAAATAAATTAAAAAACAAACAGCTCCTTGCTTTATCACTTTATATCATTCAGGAATTTGTTGGATTGGACTGTATTTATTAATTATATCCTAAATCTAGAGGTACTGTACGTCAGTTCTATTTCAAATCTTGAAAAATTGAAAAATTTGGCCTTTTGACTGTAGGGATGTGGTAGCTTGTTTTAGAGTACTGTAGCTCAGTTTGCTTTCCAAGAACTGACTTGTAAAGAACATCAAAAATGTAAAAACAAATGTGTCAGCATTGGTTTGGATAGATTCCAACAACCAAATTATTCAGAAACTTAAGTCAACATTGAATCACCATAACAGAAACTAAACACTTTGTCAGCCTCACAGGTAGGCAGTATGGATTTCATTTAATGAAGCTGAAGGTTCTCACATTGTCTGTAGAAGTAATAA